CCACATATACAGATAAATGAACCACATTTGTGACATTAAACAGAGGTTAAAGCCAAGGTTAGCTTACGGTGCCATATTGTCACACCTCACTAACTACTTGAATAATTTTTTTTTTATTTTCCATACTGACATATCTCTATCAAAGCCTGCAACATGTTAACTGTTAAACCGTCACGGAACAAACACCAACCTGGTATCTGGTCATGCGATCTTGCTTCATCTGCTCAAATTTGCGCTTAAGTTCATTCTGGCGCTCGCCCTTCTTCTGTGCGCGGCCCACATACACCTGTCGGCCATTCAGTTCTTTGCCGTTCATGTCGTCCACGGCCTACAAAGCCACCAGAAATAGAGCGGACACACATTCAGATTCAATTCAAATGGCAAACACAAAACTGAAACCACGTTTGTTAATAATAATAAAAAAGACATGAAACGTATGCTAACTTTCTGAGCGTCTTCGTGCCTCTCGAAGCTGACGAAGCCGAATCCCTTGGACTTGCCGCTCTCGTCCGTCATGACCCGGATGCTGAGCGCAGGACCTTCGGAAACAGGCAGGCTAATCAACACATTTACCCAGCCACTTCATACCCGATAGCTGGCGATTTGCAATCGTCCGCATCTGAAATCTTGACGTCTCACCATATTTGCTAAATAACTCCTTCAGCTTCTCATCATCCATGTCTTCCCCGAAGTTTTTGATGTAAACGTTGGTAAACTCTCTGGCACGTGCCCCCAGCTCAGCCTCCCTCTCTTTGCGCGACTTGAAGCGGCCGACAAATCTGTTAAAAAAATGACAAAAGTATGCTTAAGTCACACACTTTGATATAAAACAGCAGAAGTATACAAATACAGACGGCATCGTAATTGCATCCAAATTATGATAGATTTTTTTAAAGAATCAAATACAAATGTAGTGATTCCCTCTGTATTTTAGAGATGCTTTATTTGTAAATGTTTCGAGTTTACGGGATGCTGGTTGACAAGATGCAGGAAAACACAAAAATAGCGCTCTGAGTTAGGCATCAAAATGTTTGTTAAGCACATTCCCCTCACACGTTTTAAAAACAAAAGTGTAACAATCTCCACCACTTACACTTTTCTGTCATTGAGCAACATGCCGTTCATTTTCTCAATGGCACGCTCAGCTGCTTCGTGGGTCTCAAAGTGCACAAAACCGTAACCTTTTGAGCCATTTTCATCACAAACCACCTTAGAAAGGACAGATTTGAGGATGTTAAAAAAAACATTGAAACACACACACACACACACACCATGCAGGCCAATCATTACAAACTAGCTTTAATCTTGTGAAATCCTAACTCATGCATTAACACAGAATAGATCTGTCACTGTCTTACCTTGCAAGAGAGGATGTTTCCAAACGCAGAGAAGGTGTCATAAAGGGCCTTGTTGTCAATGGACTTGTCGAGGTTTTTGATGAAGATGTTTCCCACCCCGCTCTTCCTCAAGGAGGGGTCACGCTGGGACCACATGATGCGGAGAGGCCTGCCCTTAATCACATCGAAGTTCATCGTGTCCAAAGCCCTTTCAGCTAGAAACGTTTTGAAAAAATAAAACAAAAGAATAACCTTAGGCACCCTGTCGTATATGAAGTACAAGTGACTTTACACGTGACTTATCTTTTTAACTATATCCTACCGTCAGCTGGTTGTTGGAAGTTAACATACGCATATCCTAGCGAACGCCGGGTGATCATGTCTCTGCACACTCTGATAGACAGGATGGGTCCGGCCGGGCTGAATTTCTCGTAGAGCATGGCCTCGGTAACATCTGGGTGCAGGTCTCCTACGTAGAGCGAGGCCATGGGGTAGCTAGGCGCGCTGGGATTCATGTCGGGCGTCGTTCGTTTTCAATCAGATAGCTGTTTGAGTTCGACGCGCAATAGTGGCTGTCAGGAAAGTTAAATACGTTTTCTTCACTCTGTTTTGGCAAATAAAAAGAGAAGAGACAGAAAAAAACCGTTAACTGCTAACAACGTGGGCTATGTAGCTCGGCTATGTAGCAAAATGTCGGAGTGCGGCCTACCCAATATGGCTTAAATGTCACAATTTGAGACGTTTAGCTCCTTCAAAATCACAAAGAGCGATAAACTATCGATACAACAAGACACAAACAGCGACAATTAACTTACTGTAAGTAATACTTCTTTAAATGTGGGGAGAAATAACAGGCTATCGTTAATTAGCCGCGCTCTCAACAATGACGCTAGTAACGTAGCTTGCTAACACCGTTTTCGTCGTTCCGTCTTTCGTTCTTTTTCGAAGGCAGCGTCTTCTTCGCGTTGCTTTGTTGGCAAATCAAATCCTGCTTCACCGATTTTAGGTTTTCTTATAAAAATATGTCTGCGGGTGCTCACTAGCTTTTGGTTTGTTTCATAATAATAAAATGTGTGCCGAGGCTAGCTCCGGAGCACACCCTACGCAGACGGATTACAAGAATGAAAGGAAGGACGGGGGAGGCTGTTTCCAGATTCCAGTCGAAACGCCGGCGCATGCACTAACCGTGGTTAGCGTCACGTTTCTCGCGATATTTAATGTTTATGAGTAAAATAACATGTAGAGAATTTAATTGAATAATCTTACTAAAATTTTACTATACATAGTTTGAAAAATTTAAACCCAGTTTCTCAGAAAATTAGAGCTTAAGACGAGCCCAGGGAAAAGATGAGTTTTTTTTTTCTCCATAAATTCTGGCTTTGACAGGACACTAAGAAAATGACAGAACAAATATGGCTTTTTGGAGGGGTTGCTAGAAGAATGATGCAGGACCTGGAGACCTTGCTGTTATTGAACTATGAAAAGGAAAAAGAAAAGAAATGTTGAAAAAGAAATATTGCAAAGGTCCAGATAAAATCCAGACCTCAAAATCATTGAAATGCTATTACAGAACCTTAAGAGAACAGTGCATAAAAACAGTCATAAATCTACCTAAATGAAACAATAAACTTTTGGTTTATTGTTTATCAGAAAGTGATGGCATTGTAGAAGCTGTTCTATGATTCCTTTTACTTTAAAATATGTAAAACTTTAAGACTAGATTTTGTTTATTAAGCTCTGATATAAAAAACCCTCACCAGACTTGGAAGATGAAGTACTTTCTTCTTCCCATGCCTGCACTAATCCATCTTTAATACCTCAACTCCTTGTAGCTTCCATGTACAGGCAACTTCCATTTCAGACATGTTTTATTTCTAAAAGTTTATAAAACTTTTGGTTGCTATTTTAACATGTAACAGTTCACATATTATTAGTGCATATTAGGACCATGTGTTAAAATCTTTATCCAATTTCATGTAGAAACTAAATGTAGGAACCTTGATAGGGCTGCTTAAACAGAACAGAGCCGTCCGTTTCTTCTAAGTTAAACATTTAAATGCATTTTATTTATTGCATTGAACAAAACGCTTGTAAAGATTGTACTTCCTGTGATCGTTTCCGAGTTTGTAGAGCCCACAAGGGAGTGCACCTCTCATACTACTATCATAAGGACTGCAGGGGGTGCTAAATCGCACCAACAGTTTTCGACTTCTTGAATGGGACACAAATTATTTTTAGCCATTTTGACGTTTATAGCAATGAAGATTCCTTACGTTTTAAATTCTCCCAAATAAGTACATTTACCAAAAAGGAACACAGACGCCTTCTTACTTAAATTGAGTATTAGGACATAGTAATACAGCACAGTAGGCCTACAGCATTCCTGTGTTGAATCTGCCCTGTGATCAAGTAGAGCCGTGGGAGTGGAAGACGCACCCAAACGGTAGTTTATGGGTAGCCGACTCTCCATTCATGGCAGCAAAGAATATGGAGGTTTTCCCTTTTGGAACAAACCACAGTGGAAACGATCTTATTCAGGACAACAAACTGCAAAGTTTTCCATCCATTGTCTGATGCATTTCAACTGTTAACGTCTAGAAGGGAACCAAAAGCAAAAAAAAAAAAAAAGAAAAGACAGGATTAGCTTGCTACATTTTAGCAACTTTAAATCAAAACTAACATTTACAGTATGGTTTATTTAAAACAATAAAACAAGGTAATTAAAGTGTAAATGCATGTCCTGTTTTCTACAAGAGATTAAAATCTTAAAACCTTATCCAGATTAATATATTTAGCCAAACTAAACTTTTAGGTGACCATGCTTAAATGCTGAGCTTGCAGATGACTTTGAAACATGTCATGAGTCATGGCGGAACACTGAAGATTACTATATATTCAAGTAAGGAAAACAAAGGACAAGTTGAACCTTTTAAATTGTTTATTTTACTTAAATGAAATTATGCATTACCCCCAAATAAGTGTTTAGTATGAAAACTCCAAAGACAGACAAAGCTAACCCGCCAACAACAACCGTTTACTTCTCCAGACTACCCTTTGACCAACTTTATGCAAGAACTGGAAAAAAAAACTTATTTTCAAAAACTTTTCATTATATAAAAAGTGGGATTTTTTTATACTTACTGAGGTGCTCATACAAAAACAGCAACAGTACAAGCTTGTGCTCTTGTTCTTTTAATTTTCTATACCTCGTAATGGATACATAGACATACAAAAGCAGCCCCCCCAACAAAAGAAAAAAAAAAAAAGACAGTAGAAGGTTGATAACAGTTTATGGAATGTAACCTGTGTAAAAATCTGGCCCTTCATCACCAGCTCTCCCCCATTATGTCATCATTGTGTCTGCCTTTGCTGTATTTCCTCCTCCTGCCGAGTCAGGTACAAGTGGGCAGGTTGGTATTGAGCAACCACTAACTGATCATCAAAAGATGTTGCTGCGTACAAACAGCACCTTTAATATTTAGGACACACGCAGTAATTCTTTTTTTTTGTGGCTTTTAAAACTGCTTGCTGCACGTTTCACGACTGGAAAACCCCAAAAAATGCTTAGACCCTGGAACAAGGTCAGCAGGCAACCCAACCCCAAAACATGCATGAACCCTCCCATCACACTTTAAAGCCCCAACCTGTTTATCTGCACTTACTGCAGAACAAACAGCAAACCAAAAAGAGAGGGATGACCTAGATAGAGAAACAAAGGATCAAACTGGATGTCATGAATGAGGTGGTCGAGTGCTGATCACAATAAAGAGGACTTTGGATGATGTCAGGCAGACGAGGATGACTTTGAGGGTGAGGCTCATTCTTTGGGCTCCTCTGATTCCTCTCCCTCGACTGCGTTGTCAGAAGTCCAAAGCTGAGGAAGGAGACGGTGATCAAACTTTTGAATCGCTCAACTCTTTGCTTTGCTCATCCAATTTTCTCCAATCCCCAAAAAATTTTATTACGCAAAATAAAATTAAAAAAAATAAATAGAAATAAAAAAGGGAAACTTACTGTTAAGTTGTCTCTCAATAGCTGCATGATTAGTGTACTGTCTTTGTACGATTCTTCACTCAGTGTGTCAAGCTCTGCGATGGCATCGTCAAAAGCCTGGAGGAAATAAAGTCAATTTTTAAAGGTACGATAAGAAGATGCAATTTGTCTTTCATGTCTGCCTATTCAGAAGGTCTATCCATTCATCAGTCACCCAGATCTCACTGTAGGGGAACATATATAAACTTTATGTTCCTGGGAACAATTTGAGATGCCTCAAGAAAAAGCTGGAGAATATTTCCGGAGAGAGGGATGTCTGGGTTCCACTCCATCACATTTGAAAGTGAAAGGATAAGTGTGTGTTTGTTGGTGAGCTGCAATTAATTGCATTGAATACAAAGCGTCTGCATTCTTGAGTACTGAATTACCTGCTTGGCTAGCTTGCAAGCCTCTTCAGGGGAGTTGAGGATCTCGTAGAAGAACACCGAGAAATTAAGGGCTAGTCCGAGGCGTATCGGGTGCGTCGGCTGCATCTCTGCTTTGCTGATGTCAAAGGCCTGTTGGTAAGCCTTCTGTGAATCTTTGATGATGCCTGAAATAATAATGACAAAAAACATTATGAGAAAACAGAATCATCTGAGCACAGGACCTAATTTTAAGCATTCTATAATGCAATAGGATAATTGGACATACACTAATTTGAGTATACTAAGTTTAAGTTCTAGTCATCGAGTTTAAACTTGATTATTTTGACTTATTTTCAGAGGCAATTTTTAAAGCTTTCAAACACTGCCTCTCTAATACTATCCTATATATAACGGTGTGACATTTATTTAGTAATTTATAAGACATGTTAGCATAAAGGAATATAAAGCAAACATAAAAAAAGTTCTGTAGCAACACTGGAGAAGATTTGGAGGATTCATCCTATCTTTTCTGTTTTAAACATATGAGGATCAGGTTTTCACATACATCATTTAAATTAAAGGCTTCAAGTTTTAGCAAACAGGATTGCACATGCTGCAACAAAGTAGCTTTTAGTGTCTATTGCACAGTGCCATGTTCGGCTGCTTATTTTACTCGTTTACTTTTTGGTCCAATACTGTATGAACCTTTTATGAACTACCCAGAACAGATCAATTTCTAAGTGACGTGTTGCTTCTGTAATGTAAAGTGCTTTGACTTCCTGTCTATGAACCCGCTACTTTGATGCTTCGTTCCATGATGCAGTTTGAACTAAAAACAGTTGAATGTTGCAGAATATCGATAAAAGCGTACCAAAAAGTGCAATTACTTAATTACAGTAATTGCACAACATCATCACCAGGGTAAACAAACTGTAGGAGTATTTACCCTGGAAATTGTTCTAGAAGGGTTTAGTGAAATAAAAGAAGAAGAAAAAAAGGTCATTGTGGTGACAAAAGTGAACTAGATTGTTTTAACACTATTTCAGTCTTGGCGCTGGAGCGCGTCTTCTATGAGACCAAAGAACAGGAAGTCACAAGTGAAAATTAAACTGCTTAAAAGAGAACCAATGACAATCACTTGCTGTTTAGGCACACCGAGACATCAATTGGATGTGGTGTGCAATAAGTTTCAATTTCAATTTTGTCATAAAAATAGAAAAAAGTGAAGAACTTTAAAAGAAAGGACTGCTATGAATGACAGTAGTCTCACTGTGACACATCAGCAATGTTGCATATAGCAGAAGTGAACAGAGGCGTACCGTCTTTCTCGTCTCCTGTCGCCACCTCAGCCAAGTAGCGGAAGTAGTCTCCTTTCATTTTCAAATAAAATACTTTGCTCTCTGCTGCCTCTGCTTTGGGGATGAGGAACTTGTCCAAAAGAACCTGTGAAAACAAAACAAAAAAAAGTTGTTATATCTTTTCAAGTTTGTATTCATCTACCTTCTACATTTTACATCCACTTGTTCCCCCAAAACACACAGTTGTTGTTCAACCTGAGCAAGAACACAGATTTTCCAATCCACAGGTTTCAGACATAAATCGGTGGTAGAAATAAGCTGGGCATGTCTAATTAACCTCCAGGCTTGAAAAAATTGGCCAGGCTACATCACAGATGCTTCAGGGACCACAGAGGGGGATGGACCTATGTGGATGTGATAGCATGATAGCATATGGGTGGGGTGCATTGGGGGAGAGGAGTGATCTGAAGAGATAAAGGGACACTAGGAGTATGGATGGAAGCTGGTGTGACTAGAGAGAGGAAGCAGGCAGCTGAACTGATGAGGAAGTAGGTCACATAGACACCAGCTTGGCTCTCTGTGACACAAGCATGCACTGCTTGATAATCTGCTCTGGTTGCTAACCTGAGCGCTAGCTGAAGGAAAGCCAGCCATCTCATTGTGAGCAATGGTAACCTGCTGCTAGAACTCTTGATTATGAAACTTATGACATGATAGCATAAATCTATGGATTCTCCTGTTGGAGAGAAGCAAAAGACCTTCATTAATGATCCTACAAAATAAATTACAATGTGGGATCGCCGCTCAAATCCAAATCGACTGGAAGACAATGGGCTGTTTTTAAAGTTCTCAAGACCCTCTTTGAATACAGCTCATTTGCATATTAAAAGGATAAAGGGATAAACAAGGCTAATGAGAGCATGCATTTGCTGAATGCTCTTAAACCAATGTGAAAGATAGGGGACGCCCTATGGGATGTGAATGTAGAACTAGGCCACTGGCAAGGGCACAGCTAAAATCAGGATATCTCTATGGCGGTACAGAGCAGAAGAAAATTACACTGAAATAGGGATGGTGTTTCTGCACAATTTAAAAACAAAAAAACCCTTTATAGGGAAGTAGGAGTTTAAACATACAAAGGTCTCGCATGGCTTTTTGGGGTCAACGGAAAATCCAATTCATGTCATTTAGAATAGGAAAACGTGTGCAAGCCAGTGGTTTATTGATCTGCGAGAGCAGAATGGGACACCAGTGCAGCATAGTGAGCATTAGATTCCACAAGCCCTGCTAATAAAATTGTAGCTAAAACTTAAACAGATCTCTAAATAGCACATCAGGTAGGGGAAAAACTGCTTTTATTCCCATTTACCTCACAATAAAACCGACAGTTGCATAAAATATTACATGTAAGCATTTCATTCATGCAGTATAATGGATTTAAAACTAAAATGGAAACGCATGAGACCATAAAAGGGTTATTATCCAACAGTGGCTGAAAAGAAATGACATGTTTCTGTTAGACTAGTAATTATCGTAGCTTTAATTACATAAAACTTTGTTCTTGTCTATTAAAAAACAAGGTGATGTATTTTGATAAGATAAAAAAAAATCTCAAATATATTTCCATGTGCAAAGCTTATTCAAAATATTTTAAAACATTGCTGTTGCATTCAGGAACAGTAGGGGGAGCCCAGCAAGACAAAAAGCTGCCACACCCTCTATGTTGACTTAAAGCAGCATTATAATAGTGCTGTTACTACTGCTGAATAGACTCTAAGGGTGGGAACAATATAAAAGGTAGATGGTTAGATAAATACTTCATCATATTTTATGATTTTAAATCATTTTCTCCTGTTAAAATCAAAACATAAATAAAGTCCTTTAGTTTTGACTGGACAAAACCTAAACTCAACTCTTCTTCCTCTATCAATACAATCCGTTTCTTTTACCCTCCATAAGGCTGGAAGTGATGCACAATACTGGAGGGTCAGCTTCGGTCATTATAGGATTAAGACTTTGAGTCATAGCTGGGCAGATAACATGCTGAGGCCCTGCGCAACAATGAAGAGGTTTATACAGGTACAAAATTATAAACACTAATTTAACAAATAAAGTGGCCTTAAGGTGATTGGAATTTAACAAGTAGTAAAACTGATTCAACCAAAACTAAGTATAAAATGGTAAGTTATCTAAACACTTTGTGGTATAACACTTCCTCATGCCAACCACTACAGGTAACTGATTAACTATTCTATAGCATGTTACACATCCTCACCTCAACTGACAAAAAAAATAATGAAAAATATATATATATAGATAGGTAAATCATTAAAAATAAACTTTAAAGCTTCTGCTTTGTTACAACAGTAGTACATACAACTGCAGGAGAGATGACTCACTTTGAGCATTAGTATTGTTAAGTCGAGCCTTCTTAATAGACTTACACATCTATTACATCACATAGAGCAGAGGAAGCTAGGTAAGACCAGGACCAAAAATATTAAACATGTTTACAGATCAGCTTTTTCAGAAAACAATTTGGTCTTGTTAATAAACCAGGCTTGAATTATAATATTCAGATGACCAACTCTTTCTGTAATTGGCTCTTTGAAATCCTTATTTAATAGACCTAATATGAAAGTGATCAAATTTAAAAATTAAACCCAACGACAAACTTTATACATGCATGTTGCTCTCTTTTTAAAGGAAGAAACAGGACTATTTGTGTCCTCATACGGAAACCAACAAAAGGGAGGCAATAAAGAATAAGAGACGGATCCAAACTCACCAGAACGTCATTGCAGATTTCTTTCAGCTCTCCCTCGATTTTCTCCCGGTACTCTTTGACCTTGGCTTGTCTGCCCTCGCTGGCATCTGCTTTCTGCTCGATGCTGGACACCACGCGCCAAGACGAGCGCCGGGCGCCCACCACGTTTTTGTAGGCCACCGACAGCAGGTTGCGCTCCTCGTTCGTCAGCTCCTCGCCCTCCTCTGTCACCGATTTCATGGCGGCGGCCATGTCGTCGTAGCGCTCGGCCTGCTCGGCCAGCTTGGCCTTTTGTACCAGTTCCTTCTGAGGTGATTCGCTCATGGCTGCTCACTGCAGGGGCAGGGAGCAAAAGACAAAGAAGTCACGCAGAGGTAAATTAAAAATTAAATAGACAGCTGGAGAAACTGTAAGGCTGCAGTGCAGCACCGCTAGCTGCCCTTCATTAAGACATTCTGCACTGACAGCATGGACCCTAATGAATGCCATCCATCATTCTTATTAAAAATAACTTTTAAAAGTGCAATTATTAAGCTAGCATCAACATGTCTATTAAGCAGCTCACTAATGGTTGGCTACGGGAGCAAATACCCTGACTAATTATTACCAAGCTAACATTAGAGAATAGAGAAAAACTGCTAAAATAATTTATTTTTTTTTACAAGAAATGATCAGCAAGGTTTTAATTAAGATTTATTTCATAATGTTGACCCATCGCAAAATGCTAAGAAAAAATAAATTGGGTGGAAAAATGGATGCCAAAAATAAAATCCATCCAGATTTAGTTTCACACAAAGTTCTGTCTAAACCATTATTAAGTGGTAAGATTCCTGGTGTTCCAAACAGAGGGAAACTTGTTAAATACCTCAACTATGTGGGCAAGGAGTGTAAAGGTTTGAACACGAACAGACTGGCAGTGTACGTGTGACGACTGGCATTTTCTTGGCTATGGTAAAAAATTAAAAAAAAATAATGAGCTATTAGGCTATTATGTAGCTGCCATTGTGGTTCCAGTCACTGGATTTATGCTTTTGCAACCTGACGATGACTATTTCTCTTTTAATGAGGCAAACTGCTATCAAGGCAGATTTGAGAGGAAATACATTTACCAAAAAAAAAAAAAAAAAAACAAAAAAAAAACTAGACCCAAAAATTTACTCAATAATGTTTGATTTTCTAACTATTAGAAGGTTAGAGCAAATTTAAAAGCATGATTGATTTTGTTGCGAACAGAATTCTTGAAAAGAAAAAAAGAAACTGATAATTATATTTATATACTAAAATATGACCGCTGTGATAATTACGTCTTTGATGTCAATAATGGACTTTAAGATATCTGCTAATGGGTTCTACTACATTTTTTAAAAAGCACTAAAATGTACTAATTACTAAATATATTAAGTAATGAAAGGGTAAAGTAGTTAAGTATATTTGTTCAATGATCTGTGGTAATACCTAAAAATCTGTAGAATTATGGCATTTTTGTGCTAAATATTTTCTTTGGGTTAACAGGGGAATTCACTACAGGGTGGTAATTTTATGGATATTTGACCTAGAGGATGATCTTTGTATCATTCTAAAAGCCAATTCACGAACTTTCGCCTTTAAGCTCGTTTTGTCAGCCACTCCTTATTAAAATGTTGCTAATCCACCCACATTCGCAACAAATGAGCGTTAAAGACAAAAAAAAAAAGAATAACCTAAAAGAAATAATGTTGCAATCACAATAGTGTCACTCCATTCAGTAAGGCTTTTCTAGCCTTCAGCGTTAATGTGGCCCCCTCCTTTTCTCTCATTCACACTCACCACACCCATCCCTGTACCTGTAGCTTGTCCGACAAGCGGAAGCTAAAACACGAAAAGTTCGTTTGAAGATTTTGTTAGGACGACACGTTCTGGCAGATATTAAAGCAAATGTGCAACTGGTGAAGAGGATAGCATATTCCCTCTACAGAAAGAGCCCCGTTAAAAAGTGCACCGGGCTACAGGCTAGGCCCTCGTGACCGACGACTTTCTACTATGGCGCCAACTATTTCCTGAAAAAGACGCTTTCCAAGTTAGACAGCTTTTCCAAACGTAATAAAGGTGAAATTAACACTGTTTTGTAGCAAACTGAACATAACATTTAACAATGTGGCCTGGCAAAATGCCCACTTGGAAATGTTACGTTTACTTAACTCGTTTGGTTTTTTTTTTTAGTACCTAAAAATAATCACTTGGGGGGGAAAAACGGAAATTACTTTGTCACAAACGAAGGGGTGTAGCAATGTAAATTGACCATATTTGCAAGATGCCATATAGATATCGGCTCTAGCTAATAGTTCACTGGGACAATGCCATTTCCAGCAAGCCCTCATTTGCCTCATCGGTTATCTACGGCACAGTTTCAGGTAACATGTTTAACATTTGTATCAAGCAGGATTTCAGCCTACTCTCAACTGACACGCCTTTCTATTTTCAGTTAGAAAATCAGCCATTAGACACATCCCGAACTGAAACGTTAGCTAAGCTAGCCTTTGTTCTGTAGTTTGATGAGCGTCCCCGCTACACCCAGTCCTGCCAGTAACCCGTAGACAATGGGCTTCTTCGACCGCCAGTTATTTATTTACACTCATTAATAAAAAAAAAAAGTACATATAAAATATATCAAACCGAAGACATTTTTTCTAAAGCCACCATTGTTTCATACCTGAATATTAGCAGATGTCGGCGTACCAAGGTGCAGCTGATTCTCTCAGCCTGTCCGAATGAGTGCAGTCAACGGGGTTTCCTCCCAATCACACCGGTCCAAGACACGGCCAGAGTAGCGCCGAGGCAAATGAGGACTGACGTCAAACGTTACCAGGGTGACCAAACGTGACGGTTTGTGGGAGTTGTAGTTGTCTTTTACATCCCCTGTTAGCTTTATTTTAAAAACAGTTTGGAAATAATTTATCACTATGGCATAATTTGCTGTGATTCTGTATAATCACGTTGAAACACGGAAAACTGTGCTCTCCCTATTGCGGTTTTCTTGCAGCAAGAAAACTGAAACCTATTACTTTTTAACCCCTTCAACGTTGTAAATCACATTCTCTGAATCAGAACTTTGGAGCAGGAAAATAAATAGACCTAGCAGACACAGAAACTAATAGAATATCTTAAGTAGTAAGTAGTTATGATAATCATCTAAAAAGTGTGTTTTTGAAAACACCAGGTATTTGCTCAAGACGCAGAGGGCACCACAAACTGGAACACAAGACACAGCTATGGTACTTTCCTAATAGAAACTACTATTTTTGCATTCTGGTTGGTTTCCAAAGGGAGAGAGTGAAGCTATTTTTGCCGTGTCACATGATTTCCCCTTGAGCAAAGATTTCAAGCTTGTAACCTATTTAAGGACGGATCAGATAATATTGGCTGCAATGTGCAGAGACAGGGGCAAAAGAAGAGGAAGAAAATAAGGAGGAAAATACATGTCTACTGTCTAAATAAACTGTGGTCAGGGAAGGGTGAAACTCCAACCCATAGGGACTCCACTATAAAAGCTTTAGAAACCAGTTAGGTGGGTTTTACTGTCCGTGAGCCATGTCTTGTATGCACATGCACAGACACACACAGAGAAGCAGCTTCTGCACACTGGAACAATGGCTAAGTGTTGAACACAAATCTTTCTGTAATGGCAACAGTTCTCATGTTAGTTTCAGTTGAAAACACTAAAGTGGAGAGGATTAGCACATAGAATACAGTAAAAATGACTAAGGAAATTAACACAGGAAAAAAAAAAGAAATGTCTTACATAATCAAAGTAATTATAGTTAGTTTTTTTAATTATTATTTTTACTAAGTCTCAAAATTTTCCTATATTTTGAAAGGGTGAAGCCAATAAAGCATTAATATCTGTGAGAAGAACTAAAACTACAGAGGCAGTCTGAAATAATAGGAAATAATCCATAAATGGAGAGTCCTGGGTGTATAATTTCCTATATTATGAAAGCCATATGTTGTGTCTTTTTAGCTGTCTTGTGTAACATTAATAGTCACATTTCACTGAAGTGATATTGAAAAACTGTCTAACAATAGTATAATTATTGGTTGCACTGTGCACACCATCTATTTCTCGACACACTGATGCAGTTATTAAACTTTTCTCTTGTGTGAAACCAGGAGGACAAACTGACCAATTCTTCCTGATCTGCAATTTTGCATTATTCCCTGTTATTTCAACTCTTAGCATTGTCATCTGTTCTTCAGTCTTCACAAACATTCTTTTTAGCTCTGACATCTTTCTGATTGTTATGTCCTTTTTAGGTAAGTGCTGTGAATGTGACCCACCCTTTTGTAAAAGTGTCCAAAAGCCGATGACTAATTTCCAGGTGTTACATTCCTGGCCCGGGGAAGACATAACATGCTATGTGACTCTCAGCTCTCCCCACTCCCATGATGGGCCAGTTGCATGGTAGCTATTTAAGGAGGTGAATAATTTTCATGGTAGCTAAAAGTCCATAAAAGCATATTGTACAAATAACAGAGCTTTACATTAAGCCTGAAAGAAGTAAAGATTCAGTTCAGAATAGATATATTTAGAGAGAAAGACAGGTAAGTATGTCAGAAACATTTATTCTTCAAGGACATGACTGTAACTTTCCACTACCATCCCACATAGGTCTCTCTTTAACACACACAGAGCAAATACTGAATCCGAGTCAGTTGCGGTAAAGTGTGAGGAGAGAGTGACAGTGGTGTTGATTGGAATTTAAAAAGCGGCTCCTCTTTAGCCCCAGTGCACGCACACGCACGCACACACACACACACACACACACACACACACACACACACACGCACACACACACACACACACACACACACACACACACTTCCGGAGGGGGAGAGATCTCTTACAAAAACACATTTCCAAAGGGGACAAGCAGATGGGCGACACTGAAACAAAACAAACTGGGTGGCCTCAGAGGCGCACCGACGTTTCTGAACAGCAGAAAAGCGACTCAGGTCTGGTTAGGATCAGGAGTGATGCAACCGCATGAGAAAAGGTCTTACGTAAACATTGGGAAACGCCCAGCATTCCTCTGAAAACAAGAAAGTGCATGACTGTATTACTGGAAACCCAGGAGACTCACACCTTACCAGTGCCACTCAGAAGTTTACATACAGTCATCATCTGGTAGGTAAACCTACCTCCATCATGTGAAAATCTCATTCATTTTGGTCTTCTGATGAGGTGGTGAACCGTTAATTTTTTTTTTTTTTTTTTACTTTATTGCTTTCCAGTTAGGGTTAGGGTAATACTTCTAAAATAAACAATTTCACTGATTTTTAAAAGCAGAAATTGCGGGCATAGAGACTTTTTCTATTACACTTGGGGTAAAAAGATAAACATAATCTCTAATATTTAGAGTTAAAACCAAGTGTTAACATACATTTTATGACTTTTTTTCCCACAATGTTTGAAATTAAATCTGAGTAAACCTTTTTCTTTTCTGTTTTTTTTAACCAAAATTTATTTCACATAGTCAAAATAGAGATTTTTTTTTTTTTAGTATTATTATACACCAAGATAAAGTATAGACAGTGTGGAAATATTCCCTATTATACTAAGGGTATGAAAGTGTTTTCATACCCTTAAAAAAGAAGCAAAATACCCTGTGAAAAGGCTGACTGAAGCTGGTGAAAGAGCGATTGCACAGTGAATTGAGTTCTGTACCAAGATGGGCTGGAAGGCCGCTCAGAGAGGAAGAAGTCATTCTAGAAATTGCATAAAAATCTACATCGTAGTTAGAAAACTCACATAGAGACAAAGACAATATTTAAAGACATGTCCTGGAACTCTTGAGGCGTTTGGCTGTAGTGACCATCCTTACATTTAGAAGAAAAAGAAACATTGGAAGCATGAGAACACCATCCCAACTGTGAGGCCAGGAAGTGGGAACATCCTGTTGTGAGGCTGTTTGGCTGCAGGATGGACTGGAGCGCTCTACTAAATAGATGATCAGTATCATGAGGAAGAAACATTATGTGGAAAGTTTGAAGGAATATCTCAGACAGGAACTTAAAGCTTCACCAAAAAGCTTGACCAAATGGGGTCTGGGAGGAATACTAAGTGTACCATCAACACTGCAAAAACACAAAATCTCACCAAGTATTTTTGTCTATTTTTTAGTGCAAGTATCTTAGTACTCTTGAAATAATGCAAAATTAACTAACAAGTAACTTTTCAGCAAGTTTTATGTCAATCATTTTTTTAATATTGATGAAAAAGTACAAATTCCACTGACAGGTTATTTCACTTATAACATCACATTTCCCCCCATACTTTAAGTGAGATCATATGCTAATTGAATAAATACTTTTTCATCAATATCAAGGAATTATTGACTTAAAAGCTCATATCTTTGCTGAAAAGTCACTTATTAGTTAATTTTGTCATATTTCAAGTTTACAATATTTGCACTAGAAACTAGACCATAAATACTTGGTAAGATTTAATGTTTTTGCAGTGAAAGTAGTTAAAAGTCTTTAAGACAAGTGTTCATCACAGAACCCTGATTGATTTACAACAATCATTCCTAAGAAGTTGGAAAGCTACAAATCTCCAAAGACGGATGCTGTGATCAAATGATGAGGATTTTCCTCCTGTGCAGCAGAACAGAGCTCTAGCTCCAAATGTTCAACTTATTCTGAACTTTTTGGAGTCCAAATGGGCATTCGTTTGTCTTTACAGCAGGTATTCAGTTAATTATTATTTTTTTTAATATGAAGTGCTCCTTGTATAAGCTATGAAATCAGTTCAGGTAAATCTTAATTCCCTGAAACCTTGTCTAGAGAACTGGAAAAAAACAAAAAAAAAAAACAAAGAACTGTCTACAGAATTTATGACGTGGCTTGTCAGGATCACATAGTTTATTTTACAGACTGTGACAATGGCTTGTGACAGGAAACCATGGCTGATGACTAATGGCATTAGGTCATTATTTAAAAATCCCTAAAATCCCAATGACTGGTTTCAACAGTGAACAAGTCCTGACAAGCTAAAAAAATAGATATAAGATATCTCTTTTCTAATTAGAGATTAGAAATCTGAGAGTTCATATAGTGGAACATTTATGTACTTGTTCTAAATAAAATAACTATGTATAATTTTTACATTCATACATACACTTATAAATGTAAGTATTATAGTACATTATCCTGACCTGGCAATTGCACAGGCTGAGAGTGAGCTGCAGGATTCCTCATCAGTGTGACAAGATTCATGTAAAATTAGTTTAAAATATGTAGTAAATACTAAATATGTCCATATTATATAGAAATAACCAGATTCACTTTCTTCCAGAATGTACATAATGTCATATTGAGTTAGAACATGTTCTGATGGGGCTTGCTTGTCAGATTAAAATGGTCTTCTGAACATAATCTCATTATGTTATTCAAGCTTCAGTAAGCCCATATTTCTGAATGAAAATGCATTTCTTAAATTTCTGGTATATATTTTGTCTTTATTTGAGCAAATCAAAGAAAAATGCATCCTATTACAAATAGAATTGGTGCAAAATACAGTAAATTAGATCAAATACCACTCATTCTATGTTATTTACAATATTAGGTGTGTGTGTTGTTCAACTGCATTTTTAAAAATATGTATTAGCTTTAGATTTTTTGTTAAAATTTTGTACAGACTTTTAATTACCTTACTTAAGCTATTCCATAAATCTACCCTGTGTAATGCACGTTTGTTTTGTTGTACTATAAACACTTTTTAAAAAAGGTTTTACCAGTAGTTAATTTTGTTTTGCTTTATATATCGTTTGTAATAGT